TTCTTCTGCTCAGAAAATCAAACTATCAGCAAAGCGGGACTATTCTAACAATCCTGTTACAAAGAGTGCACCTTTTAAATACCTTTAGGAAAAACAGCCAACTTAACCACGTTTTAAGTAAAAAGAGAAAAAAATATGGGTTTTTTTCCCCCCTTCTTTTCACTGTTAGAACTATAAGAAAGCTTGAAAAACTGTCTGCTGTTATAAAAAAATGAAGATGTCAAGCCCCACCTTTCCCTAGACTGTGGGCAGGGCATACTGCCATTCATCCTTCAATTTTGACATAATTTGTTCTTGATCTTAAAGCTATTTCTTTAGCTGGAGATATGTTCCAACTTTCCTAATGTATTTATGTTACCCCCTCCCCCCATAGAATATTAGCATTACCTGGATGTCAGCTGTGGACTTTTAATAAGAAAGTATTATGCTTGCAGGTCTTTTGAGTGTGAAAATTAAATTACAATGTTTAAACCTAGTGCATATTCTTTTCTAAATTTTCTTAGTTCTTCCTTAGGCTTATGTTCTATAAAACGTGATAATAATGCTTTAGGAGAACAAATTGATTGCTGATCTTTAGTAAATTGGAAGGAAAGTGAAATTGTAACGGGTGGGGAAACCAGGGGAAGACTTAGGAATGGCTTCTGTGTAGGAGGTGCAGGGTGTGAAATCAGACATTTCTCATTTCATGAGAAATGAGGGATCCAGAAGTGAGAGAGGCAGCAGAAATAAGGGAGTCATCCTCTTAAATGTAAATGTGTTTTTCATCTGAGTCCCCCTGGAAGCAACAAAGTACTTTAAAAATAAATAACCAAAAGCACAGTTGCTCTTCAAGCTCATCTTATTTTATCATCGATCTTTTGCTGACATTGTTTTCTTATTGACGTCAGTGGAGGTTTCAAAAGCAATTGAAAGCAGCTGTCTGCTTCAAACACACGTTGAAGTCATCAGGAAAAGTGGTATAGAGTCTTTCCCTGGAACATACTTGAGACTAGTCCAATATGTCTTTTCATCACAAATTTTAATCATCAGTTGCTGGCTTAGTTTGTATTTGCTGCAGTGGAACATGTACTAGAGCAGCTGTATCAGATAAGGGTGCACAGTAATATATAACTGGCTTTACCAAATCCATCAAACTCACTTTCATCTTAAATACAGTGTTATTTATTTTCCCTTTTTTTTTTTCCTCAGGCGCTATCAAGGTTTTTCTCTTTCAATATTTTAGAGGATTACTTGCTTTTGAGGAAATAAAGTTTGAAGTCCATTGATTAAATTCCTTATATCTATTTATATTGCTATTTTGTGACAGTGTATTAGTTAGATGATTTTTACGCAGTGAACTTTCATTACATTATTAAATTGATATATATTAACTTTAAAAATTGTCCCCTCTTCTTTTTTCTTTTTTTATTTTCCCTAAGTGACATTGGAAAAAGTTGTGCTTTACCTGAAATCATCTTGTTTCTACCCAGTGTGATGGCTGCTGTTTTTGCAGTCTGTGTGTGGTCAAAAGTGTCACATGCAGAGAAGCACAAGGAATCTGAATTAGAATACGAAGAAAAAATCCAATAAACGGTGGCATCATGTTTAGGTGAAGCTATGTGTACCATAGGCTTTGGTAATTTGAAATCCCTTCCTTCTAATATTTCCAAGTAAACATTGTCCAAAGAAGGCTCGTGGTCACTGCAAGTGCCCTGAACCCAGCTGGCAGGGCAGTGCTCTGAGCTAGAATCAAAACATGCAGGGAAAAGGAAATATCCTATGTGGCTTGGTTTGGGAAGGACAGGACTCAGGGATGTCTTAAAGGAGGAAATCAGACATTGCCACAGCAATGCAGCACTGATAAATAATTTATAAAATGTATTTTACTACAGGATGGGTACATTTCTAGGTTCTTTATATCTTCCTGGACCTGCAGAGGGTGCAAAATCTCCACATTGCTTAGAAGAAGCAGAATTATTTCATTCTCCTGGTGCATTTTGCTTCTCTGGTAACTTGTAGCAACACATCATCAGCACCAAGATCCTCTCTAGAAATGTAATTGTAACAAAAATGGAGATAAAAGCATTTATTACTGAAATTAGGGCTGTTGCCATTTAATTGGCAGAAGTGTTTTATTCTTCAATAGCTGCACCTATAGTGCAGCAATTCTCTCTAGCCTAGTGCAATTTGTTTCCTTGTCATTTTCTCTCATTCCCTAATAGGATGCTTTCCTCTTCATCATCTCTCTTTTTCTGCTTTCTGTTTGATTTTTATCTGGGTATTTCTTTTGGCTCACAGTTTCTGATGGATTTCTTGCTTCCAGCTTTAAGTGGTTTCTTTCATATCATTAAAACAGTGGAGGTAAATGATAAACTACATGGCTTTTGTTACACATTTTATTTTCACATGATTTCAGCAGTATCTAGAATAACAGAATAAGATATCTGAGACATTATTATTTCACTTCATTTATTTTCAGTGATTTAGCAGAGGTCTTCAGTGGGAGAAAGTATGACAGCAATGTTTAGGGAAAAAACCTGCTTTTGAAGTGTAGGGGTTTCTGGGATAAGTTTTTCTGCTTTCAAAGAAAGCCATTCTGTTCTGCAAATCAAAATAAATGCTTCACTACCACTCAATTAGAGCAGTATTATTAGGGAAATAATCCCTCAAACTTAAAATACTTGTCAAGGGATGGGCGAGAAAGTTGTTAGTGTGTGGTGGTAAAACTTGTCTAACTTGTCTGACTTCCCATGTTTCATAACAAGGATTTTTTTTTTTTTCAGTTTGTTTATTTCTGTTAATTTGTGCTTTATTTTTAATTCACAGTCTCCATACCAGCTGTGAAAAGGCTGGGTTACAGTATTGTTGGAGGTACAACAGCCTTTCAGCTTGGTGGTTAGCCTTTGTGTAGGAGTAAATGTGCACTTAAATTTAGCTCTCTGTATTTGGTCAAAATCCTTTGTGGGGTTCTTTTTAAGCAAGTCGGATTCGTTTTTTGGCTGTAACAAAAACTTCTTTTGCATTGACCTGCTTATATCTCATCTTTGGGTTGATGGGGGAAAAAAAACAACCAAAAAAAAAATTGAACCAAAAAATATAAAATCAACCAAGGAGGTCAAGAGGCAAAACTGTGCTTGTGCCAAGGCCCAGCACAGACCCTCATGTTCTCTGTGGCTGCAGATGATGGTGATACTGGAGAGAGCAGAAAACCTTCCTTGAGGCTTGTCCTTGATCCTGCTGAAAAACGAGGAAAATTTCATCTTGCCTCCTACCCAGTGCAAGTCTTTTGGTCAGGAGTTTCGAAATAGGTTGCTTAAATAGTGTAACTTGTATTTGGAGGTTTTTAATAGCTCTGATTAAGTCTGAGCATGCAGTTTTCTAAGATAAAAATGATTAATTGTAAACAAATTGTTTGATTTGAAGATATTATTAGGATAGTATTGCAGTAGCTGTATTAGCAGCATAATAATAATCTTGTTGTCTTCTTTGATTCCAGGAATTGTAGGGCAGACCACAGCGTCATTATATAATTTGGTAGGGAAGAGAGGTGTTACTCTTCACAAAGGACAGATTAAAGGCTTGGGGCCTATTATGTACCCATCTGCAGCACTGTTATAACACAGTGATATTTATATTTTAATAATTTAGGGAGAGGTGTGTGAGAAGCTGCCTGCTCTTTGTGCAGCAGGGTGGCCCTTCCTCAGGTGGGAAAGGTGGGGGCTCCCAGCTGTAAAAATGTTCAGTTCCTCCCAGGGGCATGCAGGGCAAGGCATGGGGCTGAGGAAACAGTGATGGTGGAGCTTACTGCAGTCCATGGCACATTAGGTGATGGAGGCCTCAGGAGCAGGGAATTACCCTGCAGGCTTCCTTGTTAATTAATCAAAAATACATCTGAGTGCATGAGAGAGCCTCTGTACAGCCCAGACAGAGCTGCACCTGATGAAAGATGAAACAGTGCCTTTAGATTTATTTTGGTGCATGGATGAGGGAGAATCACCTCTCTGGGCAGCCAGGGCTTTTTTCCTTTTCCTTTTCCTTTTCCTTTTCCTTTTCCTTTTCCTTTTCCTTTTCCTTTTCCTTTTCCTTTTCCTTTTCCTTTTCCTTTTCCTTTTCCTTTTCCTTTTCCTTTTCCTTTTCCTTTTCCTTGTGGCTGGTGGCAAGGCAATGGTGCCATATAGAACCCTGGCATGGACCTGCCAGCTGGGATGCTGAGACCTCAGCTGGACACAGCTCGAGGCCAGAATTTGAAGGCCAGCCTGGCCTGAGTGGAGAAGTTTAATGTGCAATTATTTTGAGAGTGCAATCACTAATATTTTATTAAACTCAGAGTAGTAAGACGGAAGTCAGAGGGATTATCTGCACCCTTGGGTAATATTCTCTGTATGTAGGACAATTTATTGTTTCCAGATATTGTCATTACATTCAAATCTGGTTGCAGTGTTAATTTTATTTTATATGTATTCTAGGACATGAGAACTGACAGAGAGCTTTGCTAAGAGAACAAAAACCCCATTTATTTTATCCTTTTTGCTGATGCCTTTGATTCTTTCATTTTCCTATTCAAAACTTACTTTACTAAAGAAACTGATAGAGGTTCATAATAACTGGGCAACTTGACAGCAATCAAAAGTGGAATAGGTAACAGAGATAAATAAGAATTCTAAAATAAAAACTAGATCTGTGTGGGATTCCTGAAGAAAGCATAGGAAAATAAAGGTTTTAATTTGCAATCCATTTCAAGCATGCTACCTCAAAGGGATTTCATTAAGCAAGAAATCTCTTATTGCAAGAAATTATTTATAAAACCTGGAAGATTTCTGGTACTTTAAGTGGTGTTCCTGCAATGAATTTACCATTTGAAAATACAGGGCATATTTGTGTTTGTGAAGGGAAGGGGTTTTTTTTATAGATGGGGAGGGACAACTTTATGGAAAGGCAGGTGCTGCTGACACTGGAGTGTTAAACTCATTTTTCCCCCTTCCTCTTTCTCTCCTCTCTTATTTTCTTTCTCTCTCTTTTTTTTTTTTTTTTTTTTGTAAACAGCTTTTATTGTTTGTGAAAAAAAAACCCAAAACAACTGTATTGAAGGCTCTAAGAACCTGAAATCCTTTCAGCAGCTTCAGATTAGGTGCATTGAGTCATCCCCAATGTGAGCTTCCAGTTAAATGTGGGAAAAGATCACCACAATGACCTGACTAAGCAGAGGTAAGTGTATTCCCCACTGTGCTTTGGGAATTCAGCACACATGGGATAAAATGAAACATTTTTTGGCAATATTTTAAGCTGTTTTGGTGAAAATCATTTGGGTATTATCTTTTTGCAGTTCTCTGCAAATACAGATGAGAGGTTTTGTCCAATTCTCACTCAAGAAGGCATCATCTTAAATTGAAATATTATGATTCTTTCTGCAGAAAATAACTGAGTACAGAGGAGAACCGAATTCCTGATTTATTTTTGGAGACAGGCAGGGAGAGAGAGAAAGGAATATTTTGTCTTTTCTAAATACAGAATGCTTTTCTGGCTATTTTTTAAGTGAACTAATAACTCCTTATAAAGAGAAGTTGAAATCCTTGTAAGGTGCTTCTCACATATAAAAAGCCCATGAACTTTTACAACATCAGGATATTCAAATCTTCACAAAATTTAAAAAAGGATTTAAGGGGGTTTCTCATCAGAGTTACAATAATATTTTTCAAAACTTTCATATTTGTTTAACTTTAGAATTCAGATGTTCTCTGGAATACTTACTAAAAAACAGATTCACGGGTATCTGAAGCTGAAACACAACAGCTCTTAAACACCTGCATTGCATTTGTTGTGAGGCTTATCTGAGGCTGAGTTGTAGTTTTCCCTGGGCCTGACTAAAATCCTGTGAAAATCAGGGCAAATATTTCCCCTGTGTTGAGTATGCACTGGGACATGCCCAGAAATTTCACTCATTGACTGCAGCACCCAAGGTGGCTCAAAGCAGCCCAATCCTGTGGCATTTTGGTCCTTTAGGATTCTCTCTCTGCCTTACACTCAGTGCACAAAACCATGTTGTTCCTCAGTTATATCACAGAGCCTGTGTTGATGTCCATAATGTGCCAACCCCTGGTGCAATTTGACTTTTCCCTAGGAAAACTTTGGAGGGAATGAATACTCTAAAAAAAAAAAAAAAAAAAAAAAAAAAAAAAAATTTTAGGCTGCACTACCTCAAGTCTTTGCTAATTTGGAAGCCTCTCATTAGAGTTTTGATGTATGGTCTGTGCTCACTGATACATTTTGGCTTTAAATGAATGCTGTGATGTGTTAGGTGAGGCATTTTCATTAAAGTTTGAGGAATTACACTTTACAAAGTGCAGCAAGTCCTTATCTGAAACACTACATACACAGTCAAATGTGTTCAGAAAAGTTGAGTCCAAGTGGAATTAAACTGGAGGAGGCACGGGGAAGCATGGCTTGTATTACCAAAGGAGCCTTTATTTTTGAAAAAATGCAGAGAGAAATAAAACCAATTGAGCAATTGATGCCAGGGAGGGAGGAAGAGCTAATTCAAAGTTGATGTGAGGACAGCTTTTGAGCAAAGTATTTTTTTCCCCAGCAGCTCTTTCAAAAAGGGAGTAGCCCAAAAGTGGGTAGGTGTCTGTTCAGTTGCCATGACCAGCTGAACTAAAACATGCACAGAAGTGTACCAACCATTCACTGCTTGAAAGATTTGACAGAGAGGAAGTAAAGTGGATTAGAGCAGCGAGAGAGAAAAATCCTTTGGCACTGGATTTTCTAAGTAACTTCAAAAAAGAAAAAAGTAACTTCAGAAAGACTGGGTGGTAAGATCCTAACGCAGAGCAGATGGTAGTTTTCACTTCAGTCAGAGTTCTTTATAGATGTTATCCTGACTAAATAGCTCACATAAAAACAACACAGCCTTTAATTTCTGCTGAATTTTTACACTGAATTAGCACTCTAGAATGAGACATATTTTACAACTTCTTCATTATAATATCTTTGTAGTGCCTTTAACTAAGGACATTAGGCATGTTTATTTCTAAGTGTCACACTGATTGATTTTTTTTTCCCTCAGCAGAAGTAGTACTCATACCCACTGAGATGTTTTCTTAAGAAACAGTAAGAAAACTTTAGCTATTGTAGACAAGCCTCATTACTTGTGCAGGTACTTTGTGTCCTCTCTGAATAACAGAAGTTCATGGCTATTTGGCTTAGAACATTCACTACATCTTAGAAATAGATTCCTGTTATTAAAAGAGCAATCATCTTTCTCCATTTCACTCTAGAAATTCCAAAGTTAAATGCTGTGTCAAAGAGAAGCCATTTGCTTGGTCACTTCTTGTGCAGCAGGGAAAAACACCAAAAACAAAAATACCAAAACATAAGGAATAAACCAAATATATGTACTGCAAATGATCTGAATATTTAGATTTGCTCAGTGTCCTCCTGATCTCCTTGTTCTCAGAAGATCCACCTGAATGGGAGATCTCAGCTGTGTGTTCTGGGAAGGCTGAGAAGAATTCATCTCTCCTGAGCTGCTGCTGTAGGTTGGCATCACAAAAGTCTCTGATGTTTCCCTTTGTATGATTCTGGCTTGGCAGGGGAGACAGGAACTTACAGAACTTCCATTTTGCTGTTAACATCTTACTCCAATTGGAAAAAAAGAATAAATGACTTACAGATCTCCTTAACTATCCACTCCTGAAATTCTAATGACTTTTATGAATGTTGCTCTTTTACACTCCAGCAGGATTACACGGTTCGTCGTGTTTTATCAGAGCGTTACAAATGTTGTTTTGCTGACTTCTTGAGAGAAGCTCCTCTGTCTTTTCCATAAATAATTAATGTCCCCAAATGCTGGATGTGGATTCATTAAAGCTTTATTATACTGTCTCTTTTATTTTACATTTATTTGGTTTATGTGTGGAATTAATTTTTCCTGTGCTGCTGATTTGCAAACAAAGCTGATTGCTAATTTGACAGGAAACTGTGCTGAGATAAAATACTTGACTGCTTCCAGGTGTTTTGTTATAAATGCTGGAAGACATCCATACAGTCAGGTGTGTTAGAGACTGGTGTGTCATTTGGGGCATGGAGTTCTTTTAATGTGATTCTGAAGTTCTGACCACACCATCACAGCTGTGCTTGTTACTCTGCTGTTGTACCTTTGCTGTAGAACACATTATTGCATTTACCATTTCACTGACTTCTGTAGCTTATTAGTTGACTCCTCCTCATAGTCACGAAGGAAGATTTTTTTATTTTTAGTTTTATGGAAACTTTTGAAATTGCTATTTTTTTCTCTTCCTTTCCCATCTTTCTGGTGGGTTTTTAAATCCTTGCCATATCACTACAAATCACAGCTCTTCTCTCTTGGCTAATTCATATTTCTTTGAGCCAATGGCATAAAGCAGTCTTGTAATATTTATTTAGTCTTCCTTACAATCATCAACTTCAGATGCTAACACCTCTCTGTTGAAAATCATGACAGGTTTCTCCAGCACTCCTGTAAGAACTCATAATATCTGATTTTTTTTTTTCTCTCATCCAAATATTTAGAGGCTGCAATCTGGTCCACAGACAGTAGAGAAAATCTGTGCATTTTTATTTCTGAAGATGGCAACCTTTGTTGTACTACCCCACATAACTATCAGCTATTTGCAGAGGTGATGGCTATTGGTGTGGTAGGTGGATGAGGAAGAAAATTATTCTTGACTAGCTGAAGTCAGTAAGAGTCGTTCTTGACCTCTAGATCCATGATACCATAGCTCTGTCTACATTTTCCACTCAAAACATTTTCCTTTTACACAAGAGAGTCCCCCTCAAAAATATTCAAATTTAATTTGAGGGAAGGGTTGACTTTACGTGATTTTTGGGAACAGGGATGTTTGGCTAGGAACATTTTCCTTGCCACTTAAACCAGGCTACTTTCACTCTGTTTTATAGCATCGTGTTTTCCTGTGGATGTTTTCTTTTACTTCATGCTCTTAATTGCATACTGGTGAGAAGCTTACAAGCAAAATAAACAGGATGATTTGTTATCTGTGCTTTCTTGTTAAGTAGCAGCATTCTGTGGGAGGTGCAGCCTGAAACTGCTCTGAGGAAACTGTACCCAGAGCTGAATGAACTGTTACTCCAGCTTGCTAATGGCAACTAGACAAACATTTTTCTTGTGGGCTTGATAATTTAATACCAGACTGCAATCTGACCACCTTCGTGTAGGGTACTGCCTGTGGGCAGTGCCTGGTCCCACAGCTGTGTGTGGCTCTTTCTTTTGTTTTACATAACACAGTTAAAAGAGTGTTGATATTGTGTGACATCAAACTGATGATTTTGTCATGGAGTCAGCCTTCTGTTTCTTCCCACAATGAAAATTTGTGTAACACTTTTCCCCTGATTTAATTCAAGGCAGCAGTGCCAGAACTCCAGACAGTAGTTTGGGAGTTTTTTGTTTGTTTGTTGGGTTTTGTTCCCCTCTTTTTCCCCTGTTGTTACTATCTACTTCCCCATTTTAAACTCTTAAGGACAGGTACTCTACCACATATAAATTAAAAAAAAAACATAACAGCAGGGAGATGGTCATGGCATGAGCCTGACTGTGAGAGGTCCATGCTTGGAGAACTTGAGTCTGGAGGAATCAAAGCCTTGTCCTTCTGCTCAAAGCAGCCACTGACCTCTCCTCTTTTTTGGCACATTCAAGTTCTCCTTCTCTCTGCAGCCCTGACAGAGTGCAGAGACAAGGAACACCTGAAAAATTAGCTGCTTTTTAGCTCAAATTTATTTGAAAAGATGAATGTTTCTAAACATAAATCACTTGCCTGGGTCTTTGGTGGGCACAGTTTTCCTTTCATTTGGTTGCTGTGGCTCTGAACAGCCAGATTACCTCAGTTTATGCATAATTTGCAGTCCCTTTGCTGTGAGTCACCAGAGCTGTAAAAGGGACTCATGTCATGGGTGTTTTTGCATGCAACACAAGTGAAAATGTGTTCCTTTCTAACTGTTACACTAAAGCAAACTCCTGGCTCAGGACAATACCTGGATTTCACTGCTGAATACAGGGCAGATTTTGCATTCCAGGAAAACAAGGCAGTACGCTGCTTGTTCCTTTGCATTTTTATTAAGATAAGCCAGATGTGTGGAGAAAGGGACACTGGAAATATCTGGGCCAGGTCCCTGTGGCTGGAAATTAGCCTTAATTGCTCCAGTCAGCCTTCCTACACTCCCTGTTCAAGCATATGGGAGCTTGGATTGATCAGACACAGTGAATTCAGCTGATACCATCAGGATGCTGATAACTCAGTGGCTTCTTTGGGTATTTTTTTCTTCTTGGTTTTTTTTTGGTTTTTTTTTTTTTGTGGGTTTTTTTTTTCCATCTAAAATACCTGTAACTTTCCTATACTCTGTGGTGACCCACTGTGTTTAAAAAATAAATATCCCCCCCCAAAAAATCCAACAAGGACATCCTCCTATGCAGGCACTGGGTATTGTGGATGTCCACTGTGGTGAGCTTTTGCTGTGGAAATCCCAAAATCAGAAGGTAGGCAAGCTTTTTTTGTTCATAAAATTTGACACTAGACAAGGCTAGTTAATTAATTGTTTAATTGTTACATAGTTTAGGGTAGATAAAAGACATAGGCAGCTTCTTTTCTGTGTAATGGTTTCTCTTCCCTTTTCCCTAAGGCCCTAAGTAGTTAAGTATACTTGAGTTTTTTTATGTACAATCTGTAGCAATAAGATTATGATCATGTAATAAAGATTAAGATTATGTAAATACCTGATTTATTTGCATCCAATATGGATTTGAAGGACATATTTAAGTTATAGTGTCATAGCTACAAATAAATTTTCTATACATTTCAGGGTCTATATAATTACTGTGGCTGCTTATTATGCCATTTATATAATGTATGAGAGCTTCTGTTCCCAGCTTTTGTGTTTTAGTGGTTGTCATTTTCCTGCTGGTACCTTTTACCTCTTGGACTTTAAAGTGACACTAAGTTCCTGGAGAATCATAAGATTCTTTTTGGGTTTTGTGCCTTCTATCCTGTTGCCCAGTGTTCTGAAGTGCACACATTTTACCCAGTTTCTATGTTAGGTGTCAAAAGAGAGGATTAAATCCAAGTTTGAAGAACTCTGCAACTTTGGCTATTTTGGTTATCTGGTAGCAATGATAAAACTGAGACACGACAGAGAAAGTGGGGGAGATCTGTTGTGACATGTTGTATGCCTGAGCCTCAGAAATTAAATTTTCTATAACTTTTCCAGGGTTTTTTATCAGGCTGTAACAGCAATAGTTTATCTTTAACTCCTGTTCAGATACTGAATTGCAGATTTCTGGTTGTACCTGAAGCCAAGTGAGGCTGTTTGTGACACAGCAGCACTTGTCTGGGCTGGTTGCTACTAAAATCCATTTTCATCATTGTCTCAGTTTCATATACCCTGCTCATCTGGTTCCTGCAACCTGAAAAAAATGATAGTAAAAGACAGTAGAACAGTAAAAGACATAGAACTCTCTTGTCAGAGTGATTCATGAAAGGAGACATCATTTCAGTTGCTGTTTCTATTCCATTACCTCCAGCATGGCCTCCCACATCTGTAAATCTGTGTGTTGTACTCTTTATACTGGTGTTAAGTGTGACTTAGCCTTAAAACAGAATCAGTTCTTCTGGTAAATAACTGATCTGATTATTCCTTAATTGGTTGTGTCTTGTAACATACAACTTCTAATTTTTAAATTTTTTTCTTTTTTTGTACTAAAGAGCCTCTGAAACTAAATTCAAAGAGCTGATCTCCACAAACTTGGAACTGCCTACAGCTTTTATTGTAAATTCTTGTTGGATAAAACTGTTTCCCTTGATAATGAAGGTTGATAGGAGGTAAAACAGTTATCACAGTTCAACAGGCAGAGAAAATTGTTTGTCTGTTTTTCTTACTGCTTCTGTTTTCATTAAAGCAATGCTCTCACTGGAATATCTAAGTATCTGTAATACTTGCCAGAGGAATATTACTTCTTTATTACAGTGTAAATCAACTCTGAGCACCATTTTGAATACAAACACAAATAAGATGTTTCTAAAAAAAAAACCCTGAGTTGAATTTTCTGGAGTTTCCATTTTGAGCAGAGCAGGTTAAAGCCATAAACAAGAGAAACAAAATTTTATTCCAGCTTTTCCTCTGGCCTGAAGCCAGAATTGCTCCTCGTGCTGAGGATACCTGTGCCCGAGCTGCCTGGGCTGGTGGCAGGACACCAGTGAGGTCTGAGAGTCCCTTTGAGAGGCTGGAGCATGAAGGGTGGTTTGGGAAGAGGAGGGAAGGAGCTTTCTTGCTCTCACAGGCCTTTTTATAAAGCCTTTTCTGAACTTGCTGTGAATTTATGACTTTATGTGCCTTTGATGAACTTGCAGGCAGGCATTCAGGTCCCCTGGTTTCTCTGTCTGGTTGACTAGCCTAGTTCATTTTACTAACTGGTACTTCAAATTTATCAAATCTTCCCTTTTGAATCAGAAATCTCTTGCTACCAGTATTGATTCATTTAGTTTGAAAAAATATGAATGACTGGCTCCAAAATTATTTTTGAGATACTCCTCCTAGAACATATTCACTGCTTACTGCAACTAAGAGTTGGTTTCTTTTCCCCAGTAAAAAGAAACAGGACAAGAGGAAATGGCCTGGAGTAGCACCAGTAGAGGTTTAGGTTGGTTATTGGGAAAAATTTCCTCACAGAAATTGTTGTCAAGCACTCCAACAGTCTGTCCAGGGAAGGGGTGTATTGTAAATGCAGGTGAACCCAGTGGGAAGATGATGATGTCTGACTCAGTTCAGAAGGCTGAATGATTTCTTTATTATAACTATACTATAATAGATTAATATACTATTTAAAGGAGAGACTAAAA